AGCAGGGATTTGATTTGCAAAGCAACAAGTCGAGGACGTCAAAGTGCGAACAAGAAGCGCAGACAAGACGCAGTCGACCGTAAATGAAAGAACCAAGAAGCACGGACATGGACCAAAAAGAAGGAAAGAAAAACAGACAGACATGGACACGGACACGGAATATGAAAATGCCCCAAGGTAGAAAGGTAAAAACATGCGACAGAAAAACCAGAAGAGGAAGCCACAAGTCGGAAGGCGCGTAAAGACCGCGATGATGGGTTAAAATAGTCAAAAACGTCAACGAACAATGCAAAAAAAAGACACGAAGACCGCCACCGCCGGGTACACGTACGTATGTGCACGGGTTGTGAAAAGGAGTCGAGTCGAAAATATCCAAGACGAAAAATAGACCGAGGCAGAATCCGAATATGAAAATGAAAGGCAAGAAACACGCGCAATCGACCATGAATGAAAGAGCGTCAAGAATGACAGAAGGATCATTAATAGGTAATGAAGACGAATATGAAGAGAGAGAAGAGAGACCCACACCAAACCCAGCCGGTCCCGAAAATGGACGGAATGAGGCGAGGCGGGACACAATCAAAGTAAATGAAATATAGTATAACATAATACGGAAAGAAATGAATCAAAATTCAAACGGAAATGAAGGAAGAGAAGAAGAAATGGATGAGACAAGTAGGTAAACGGTAAACGCCACCCATACCACGGGCAGGACCGAGGCAAGAAAAGAGACAAGTAGGTAAACGGTAAACGCCACCATCCGTACCCATACCACGGGACAGGACCAAGGCAAGCAATTAAGACAAGATCATGCCCGAAAAAACCAAGTCAATGAGCACGCAAGCATGAGCAAAAACGCATCAAGCCGAACCCATTCAGGACCACATCAAACCCAAATCCAAACCCAACCAATCAAATGTCCAGCGTCGAAAAGGGAGCACGCACAATCAAAATGAAATGAAACAGCATAACATAACACAACACGGAAGGAAGTGAGCCAAAATTCAAATGGAAATGAAGGAAGAGAAGGTGAGATGGATGAGACAAGTAGGTAAACGGTAAACGCCACCCATACCCATACCCATACCACGGGCGGGACCGAGGCAAGCAAGATCATGCCCGAAAAAATCAGGTCAATGAGCACGAGCACAAACGCATCAAGCCGAACCCATTCAGGACCACATCAAACCCAAACCCAAATCCAAACCCAACCAATCAAACGTCCAGCGTCGAAAAGGAAAGCACGAGACCAACCCCAAAACCCCAAAAACCCCAACCAAAAGAGACCAAAGACACCAAGACGCAGAAAAAAATAGCCCAAACGCAAAACGGTTTAGTCCAACACGCGCAGTCACGTAAACAGAATGATGAAAAAGGACAAAACACAGTGACACAAACAGAAAGGAGGAAAGAAGAAGAAAAAAAGGGACAGATGATTTACGTTTTTACGTGTACGCGTCCAATCCATATAATTCCATCCGTCCATCAAAAGATGTACCAAAAAAGAAAGTTTAAAAAAGAGACGCGTGACCAGTGCATTCGTTGCGTTCGACGCGCGCCAAGCACAAAGGGGAAAATGAGAAAACGAGACAGGCCAAAACAGCAAAAAGCGGCAGAGGATGGATGGAAGGCCAGATAACGAGACGAGACGAGACCGATCAGTATTGTGTCCAGACCAAATGAATCCGAATCCGCCGTAGATTACCCGGATATGCAGCGTAGCGTAGAGAAACGTGTCGTGTCAGCACGCGTCAAAATTGGGTTTCGTTGGAGGTCGGTACCGAAGGATGAAGGCGAAAGCCGACACGTCGAATTGGAATTAACCGGAATGAGATTGAGATTGAGCGGAAGCAGTTGTATGAATGGATATATGCAACCAATTTGCCGTATCCGTCGCCGGGGAAAGCGTTAAAGACGCCGTATACAGAGAATGGTGGAAGCAAGACGTTATTGTTGGTTTGAATAGAAGCGCAGTTTGTTTGGGAAGCAAACGACGATGATGGTGGAAAGATCCGATGGTGACAGCGTGCGGGACGCGTAGAAAGGAAACAGGGAAAAAGAAAACGACAAGACTGTCAGTATGGACTCGAGACAAGAGAGAGACACTAGCAATACTGACCGCCTGATCTCGCCAAACTTGCCCATACCACCTAGACCACTCGACAAATACCCTTCATCCCCATTCCAACTCGAAATCGCCGACCCAAGCCCAGCAGTTCCATAACCACCATAAGAAGCACCAATAGCCAAAGGCCTCGTCGCCGTCGCCGTAGCCAAACTCTGACTCCTACTCCTCGACAAATCAGGTGCAAAAGTCCTGCCACGCGTCATTGGGTTCGCAGGGGTAGACAACATGGAAGGAGATATCGAGGACGAAAGCGAAGGGGGCAGACGACCACCTCCAGTCCCAATTCCAGGGCGACCATGGTAGGAAGAAGGTTCGTATCCCAAATCAAAAGTATCACCATCACCATCATCGTCGTATGGATCACCACCACCAGGAGCGAGTCTGCCTACGATGGCACTTGCATCGTCTGCTAGTTCTTCTGATTCGTCGTCTTCAAAAGTGGAGGAAAAGGAGCGTTCGCGCATTGCAGAGGCGAAATAGGACGATGAGGTGGATGCGGAGGAGCCTCCACCGCTACCGCCGCCGCCGAGGTGAGCATGGGAAAAGGACGCGCTGCGAGAGTTCATTGGTGGGACTGGGATTCCGACGCCGCCTGGAGTCAAGAGACGGTTCTGGGTGGACCATGGGCTCCGGTTGGAAATGACGGGTGAGGAGAGAAAGGGCTGGTCGGTGGATGTCCGGGGTGGCTGGGATGCAGCTCGGTGGGAAGAAGAGGGAAGAGGAGGGTCGCCGGTGTATTCGAAGCGGTTTGTTCGGTCGTGCTCATCGTCTGCGCCTAGGCCGGCGTTTTGGGGATGCATTGAAGCTGGGGCAGAATTAGAAGAGTAGACTACAGATAAAGATACTTACTTGAAAAGAAAAGAAATCTAAGAAGAAAGAGTAGTAATAGATCTCTATGGTGGTATGAAGGAAAAAAAGGTCTATGAGGCTCTCCCCACACCGCCGGTCTAGTTTTGCAATTGTCGACTGTGGGAGTATAACGAATACACCAGCTGACCTCTTTCCTCCATCACATGTCCTTCCGAATTCAGTACAATCCTCTCTACTTGCGCGGAGACATCTACATACTTGCACTGCATTCCAGTCTCCTCAGATGTGTCTCGGGAGTATCCTCTTTCCAATGGTCGTGTGCCATGTCTCACAGAAACTTTCAATCACGAGTCCCGGAGCTTGTTCACACGATGTTTTCTTCCGCTCTCGGAGGTTTTGCTCTCCAGCATCTCCAGCAAGTTGGCAACGAGCACCGAGACTCTAGCCAGAGTTGGCCATCGAATGTTGGCCACGGCCTAGGCTTTGACTGACATTAGTGCCTGGGCGGACTCGGACTGATGCGTACCACGCAAAGCTAAAGTGCCAAGCCAAAACGGGCATCAAGCGTCTAACCAGTCGAGGCCGTAGCTCACTCGATGCATAAAATGCGGAGCTTGCCATTGCAACTATGACTCCCGCCGCCGCTTTCCAGTTCCCTGGCTTTGCCTGCTTTCTGCACTTTACTTCCATCGGCCTATCCCGACGCATAACTACACCCCATTTCTCAAGAAGACCAAGCCTTCCACAACGAAATTCTCGTCAGTCGGAGTCGAATTTGGGTTCAGCAAGTATTTCACCTCCCCACTTTAAACATAGACTTAATGAATGTCCAACTCGCAGAAATAGATCCTCCGTATGTATGTTCTCCCGCCTTTTCACCATCTATCGATACCCGTCGACTCGTAAGTAAAAACGTTTCCTTCTACTTTGCATCTGCACCCAACCTAAGCGTTCCGTCGGACAAAAGACAAGGCTCCATCCAAGAGGTGTCAGATCTGTCCGATTCGAACCCGTTCTCACGGAGGGGGGGGGGGTCAATTCAGTTGTGATGCCGATAAGCGGCCGATGTCAGGTGCTCTTGACAATTTTCTTTCCAACGCCGCTTGTGCGTCGCGCTCAGCGCGCCGACGTGTTCTTGCTCAAACCTTCTGCTTATTATAAGTGTTCAGTATGAATGTGACTCTTCTTGTGTAAATACACATACCCAGACTACCTCCACATGGAGTCGTAGTGTACAAACTCCTTCTTGCTTAGGCTTGTCCGAGTACGTCTCGAATACAACTCTTCCCGGTCTTACGCATGGATTGTTCTTGACCTGCAGGCATCGTTTTTGAGAAAGGAAACATTGCTGCACTTATCGGCATTGTTCGGCGTGACTTCGGCTAGTCAGGTCACGTGAATCTGACTGGGTCCAGATCGGACGGATCTGACACCCCTTGGCTCCATCCCACATCAGACCCTGAATATCTTCCGAATTCTCAAGTCCCGCAACCTTGCAAGTCCACATTCATTCAATAGAAAACCTCGCTTCTCTTCTCCTTGATTAACTTTCCTCATATTATCCCATAGTTACTCCAACCAACCGTGTTCGATTCTATTCAGCTGCTAAACTACTGAGACGCACGAGACCTCAAGTATGGTTATCCATATGTCCGGAGTCCTACTTCTGAACCCAAACTACGTAGGTCGTTATATCAGTACTTGCATAACGTGCATATTCATGTATTAATCGTTCAATTCGATACTGGAGTAACAAACATCCTCAGGTATATTTCCTCCGAAAGAATGTATACAATTCTGGAGTACGATTTAACGGAGAAATATGCACGATGCCAACACATGCACTTAGTAAACTTTCAAGATGGTACTTGACGCACTGATACTTCAAATAGCGGTACATGAAAAATTTGTATTTACAGACATACTTACCTCGAGCCTCAACACAAGTGTATAATTAACCACCAAAGTAATAGTCACAGAAACAAAATTCAGAACTCAATACTAGGTTTCCAAGTATTACTTGGTATCCTGAAACAGAACTCACTTCACCACGACATGCATCGGGGGTATAGCTCAGCTGGGAGAGCAGCAGACTGAAGTGTCGTCTAGAGTCACACATCATTCTGAAGGTCCCGCGTTCGATCCGCGGTACCCCCATCCATTTGCATTCCTTTCTTCTTTGACTACAAATAATATGTATGATATTGATCTCTTTTTTTCCCATTTTGAGCAGCGAACATCATAATTATGAAAAGGCTGGAGTGGCTACACAGTTACATATGAAACCTCTAAGTGTTCTAATATATTGAAATTTTCGTAATTAAAATACTTAAAATGGCGGTACATGAGTAGATTTGTATCTACAACACCCACCAAGCTCAACGGTGTAATTATGTAACACTACCCCCAGATTCCTTCAAACACTCATACTAAACCAAAGTAATAAACAAAATCAGAACTCAATACTGGGTTTCTATTATCTGGTTTCCCGAAACAGAACTCACTCAACGACATGCATCGGGGGTATAGCTCAGCTGGGAGAGCAGCAGACTGAAGTTCCCACCAGGGTACGTAGTTGGCATTCTGAAGGTCCCGCGTTCGATCCGCGGTACCCCCATCCACCTGGAGACCTGTTTTTTCGTAGTTGATATAATGATGAACTTTTTCTTTTTCTTTCATTTGGAGCAGTGAACATCATCATAATTATGAAAAAGGCTGAAGTGTCTACACAAGTATGGATGGAACTTTGGAATTTCTCAAGTGTTCTCTGGTATATCAATTTTTTTGTAATTAAATATATTTGAATAAATAACCATTTCGGAAAACATTCAATCAGGAATCTGTACACGAAAAAAAATGTCAGCAAATAAATAAATAAATATCAGGGGTATAGCTCAGCTGGAAGAGCAATAGTTCAAACATCTCTCAAGGTCTAGCTAGGGACGTTTGAAAAGAAAACGGCTTGCCCGAAAAATCACGATTTTCACTTCCGGGTTCGGTTCTGTACGTGGTATCCCGGAATAAAATTCACACTACATTTCGTGTATCGGGGGTATAGCTCAGCTGGGAGAGCAGCAGACTGAAGTAGTGTTCATTGCTCTTTAAGTTCATTCTGAAGGTCCCGCGTTCGATCCGCGGTACCCCCATTGGCCCAAAGGTTACGAATCTCTTGATCTAATTTTCATTCTTTTTTGGTAGTTATTTTGATTGATTGACGACAAGTAGGCCAATGATATGTGAGCGTTTCTTTTTCCATGTTGAAGAATAAGTATTATAATTTGTGTAAAAACAAGTATGAAACATCAGGAATTTCTTATGTGTTCTGGTGTATTCATAATTAAGAACCTCCGAGTTTCTTATAAATAGGTTATAATAAATAACTATTTTGGGAAACATTTAGGCAGCATTAATCAGGAATCTTTACAGAGAAAAATGTCAGCAAATAACTTTTGGGGGCATAGCTCAGCTGGAAGAGCAATAGTTTAAGCATCTCTAAAGGTCCAGCATTCAATTTACACTATCTCTCTCAATCATTTTATAGTATTAAACTTTTATGTTTTTGTTTTCCTGATTTAGCTGATGCAATAACTGTATAACAAATTCCTCCTATTGCCAGATTAAGTCAGCCTTTTACGCCAGCTACTTGAAGCTTTCTCATTAGAGAAATGCTGACCATGCACAGTACTACCAACTATTTTCGCTCTAAGTTTTATAACAAAAAGAAAAAGTAACTTCAATGGAATGGTTTTTCGAAAGGTTGATTGAACCTGTCTTGCCTGGCTTGTTATGGCTTGTACAAGGGAGTCAATTGAAAAACTCAAATTTCCAGCAAGTTCATTTCTTATTATATAAATCCATTCAAAATCAATAAAAAGATATTACATTGCATGGCCTGTAGCTTGTTGGCAGGCTGACAGGTCCATCAAATCAGGTAATTAAACCAGGCAATTTCATGATGTATGAGACCTATAAGATACTTGTTCTTGTTAAACTTGAATACAGCTGTTTTCTATATACTTATCTCATCTGAGATATTTGAGCTTTATGATTGATCTGATGTTGCTTTTTATTATAGCTCCATTTTATTTCTGCCACATCGATTAACAATCTTGCTCTCCCATAGCTGATGCAATTGAACCAATGCCGTTCCAATAAAATCACTGGACCTTGTACTTGCCATGCAAAGCAATAACTCACATCTACTTGATACTCTATATAGATCTGATTGATTGTTCTGAGTCCCTCAAGTTCATCGGATCATAAGTTTATTGATTCAAGTCCAAATGATACTGATGAACAGTTTCCAAGTTGTCATCATGGTCTACAGACAATTGACATGTTTCCATCATTGCTAGGTCCTAGCAACGATGGAAACATGTCAATCTAGGTGACAAACATTCATACAATGTTGTAAAAGAAGTATGCATGGCAGATACGAGGCCATAGTTCAGTATTACATACAATTGTTGAAATGCTGCTACCATGCTGATGATCAGAACAATACAGAACAAATTCCTACTTACCAAACAGGTTTAAAAACAACTGCCTAAGTGGTTGGGGTAAGTAAAGATGAGGCCTCATAAATTCAACCTCATAATTGACTTTTATATTTTCCAAGAATAAGTATGAGTGATAGTCCTGTGATAGTCCTGGACACTGCAACTGACATGTTAATAGAGCATCTAAGGGCTCCAACAAGGCTGTGAGTTTCTTTGATGAACATCAGGTTTGTATTCATCCAAAGGCTGTTCTTCCTATATATCAAATCTGAATATAATCAAATAAAAGTCCTGCTCACTTCTCGAGCTTGGACCTCCCACCTGTCCAGATGCTTCTACTATTCACTCTAGCCCATCCTCTGCCCTCTCCTTTCATCCCTGTAGATGCAGTCGATAGCTCCATATCTGCAGATAACCAGTCCTCAACAACACTCAACAGTTGCGATAATATTTATTCCTGTAGAACAACAGAGGAGATTGTGTACAGTTGTATTGCTGTCATATTTGCTTGTACATGGGTTGCAATTCATCCAAATGTACCAAGAGTATTCAAAGATGGGAAAGAGATCTGTGATTCATTCTCAATGCATTCAGCAGTTGTCACACTTCAGGATGTCTTGTTCATGCTCCTTGCTCTTATTTCCCCTGAGTTGGTTACTCTATGGGCTATGAGGCAATGGTTTGCTGCTAGAAAATTAGCGAAAAAATATCAAGGTGATCTAAATTATGATATATAATGGTTTTAGCTGATAGAATATCTTAAAGACTATGGCTGGACAAAAACTCATGGCTACTTTATTGACATGGCTGGGTTCAGTCTCTATGTTGATGGGAATTGGAAGAAAACCATCACTGACAATGATTGTTTCAATGAGGAGGAGAAAGCTATTGCAGAAAGACTGGGCAAAGCTAGAGGACTGCAACTAGTATTTACAAAAAAATTCTCCTGGGTAAGTTATTGAGTGGGGTCTATTCTTCTTCAATTGCTCAAAAGTATAATAGAGTGATCAATATCAACTTATAAAGGATTCTTCAGCCCAGCATCTCACAACATGCTTGCTAGAATTTCTCATTCAGAAAAAAATCATAACAGTAACTGAAGGAGAGATTATGGACAGAAGCAAAAGAGATACAATATCCAAAGTTGTTGTCATTGGCCAAACCCTCTGGTTCATCTTTCAATGTATTGCCCGTGCAGCTGAAGGGCTTCCGGTTACCAGTTTGGAGGTCATGACCCTAGCATTTGCTGCACTCAATTTTGCCACATGCTTTATGTGGTGGAATAAACCCCAAAGGGTTCACTATCCTATTAAAATCAATATTTGGCTGGATGAATGGGATGTTTCCACACTCAAAAATAAGGAGAGAAATGAGTCTGTAACAAGGATAGGAAATCAAAGCTCAGTCACCCAAGAGCTCCAACTTGAGGGGAACCCAGAAGAGAGTATGCATAGGGAGACTGGAACATTGATGGCCAAAGAGCAGACCATGATGAGTATGTCCATCTTTCACATACCTTCAACATCTAGACAGGCTCCTTGCAAATCTTTCCTGAGCTCCATTGGTTTCAAAATTCAAGAATGCCTCACCACAATTGGTCATACTTTTGCATTAGATTGGGAGAATATTGTTTGGAGTCCTACATGTGGAAACCTGAGTTTTATTCCAATTCCAATCCGCATTGTTACCTATCCTCTCCTCACAATCATTTCTCAAAATGCTGCTATGTTGCTTGGTGAATCACATTATCAAACTAAAATCCAAATTCCGAATTCTCCAAAGCAATTATGGGTCATATTTTTCTTTCTTTTTGTTTTATTTGGTGGTCTTCATTGCATTCCTTGGTCCTTTGCATTTCCAACATATGCAGAGCAGATTTTGTGGCGTATTTGTGCTCTTGTAGTCACTACTTTCCCATTTGCATTCTTCACCTTCAGTTTGGTGTTAGATACTCCAATCTCTGGATATCTTGAAACAACAGCAGGCATTTTTGTAGCAATGATCCTGCCTCTTCTCTATATATTTGCTAGGTTTACCCTCATTTTTCTTGCTTTCATGGAACTTCATGCACTTTCTCCAGGTGCTTATAAAACTGTAAAATGGACAACTCTCATACCACACATTTAATTCTATCTGAACCTTGACATTTACTTTGTGTTCACTTACTAGATACAATAGGTAGAAATAAATACTGATGTAAATGTTGTCTCTAAGTCTGTCCACTGCAAGCTGAAGTGGACTGCTTGTTTTAGCAAGATACCTGACTGGAACAATCAGACTTCCCAGGTACCACACCAAAGTCACATAGACAAAATGAATAAATCAAGTTGATGCCTTGGTGAATTATTTTGAAGTTGATTTGAATTTAGCCCACAAATTTTTCAAATAATACAGATCACATTTTTTTGATTTTATTTTAATAGTGCATCAAAATGAATACTACATATATATATTGACAAAGTTGCAAACTGAGAGCACCCAAGATAACTTTGACTACAGCCCATTGTTACATTCAATGATAGAAAGTAGTCTCCTGTTAGCATAGAGTTATCAATACTTCTCATGTTATACTATGACCCATTTGGCTCAAATTTGTGAAGATGCATGCAGAAGACTCACAAAATGTTAGTCTTGCAAGTCTGCATTTATTCAATAGAAAATCCCACCTCTCTTTTTCTTGATTAACTTTCCTCATATTATCCCATGGTTATTCCAACCAAGCATGTTCTGTTCTATTCAGCTACTAAGCTACTGAGATGCATGAGACCTCAAGTATGGTCCAACAGAATATCCATATGTCTGTATGTCCAAGGCTCAGCATGAGCACTAACTCTAAATCCAAACTACATAGCATGTACATGATGTATAGTTGATTTGAACCTAATCAAGCCTACTAACCTCAACTCCCATTTGAAGTTTCCATGTACAATCTATCTCTAACTTTAATTGCCTTTGGCATACTTGGCATTGGTTTACAGCCTCGTAATAACCACAGAGTGATGGCCCACCCTTTTATATACTTGTACCCTTAATCATTCAATGTGATACTGGCAACATGAGTAACAAACCCCTCAGGTTTGCAGAAATGTATACAATTAGAGTGTGATTTAACAAAGAAAGGGCCCCAACCCACTTTCAAGATTATACCTGATGCACTAAGTAATACTCAAAACATTGGTACAGTAAATTTGTAATCCGCAAACACACTTACTACTTACCTCGAGCTCACTGACATCCATTAAGCTCAAGTGTAGGATTAACTAATAAACACTGCCCCAGATTCCTTCAAACACTCAAACTAAATCCAAACCAAAGTAATTGTCACATAGAAGCAAAATCAGAGCTATCCTTTGCATACCAATGTCAGGTTTCTATTACCTTGTATCCTGAAATAAAATTCACATTTCACTACATGTATCGGGGTATAGCTCAATTGGGTGAGCAGCAGACTGAAGTATAGCAGGCAAATTTTGTTAGGTTCATTCTGAAGGTCCCACATTGATCTGTGGTGCCTCCAGCTGTTTGCATCCCTTTTTGTCAATCAACATACATATATTATGAACTTATTTTGAGCAAAAACATCATAAATTGTGAAAAGGCTGGAGTGGTTACACAAGTACAAATCCTTGGAATTTCTCAAGTGTTCT